CAATTTCATTTATAGTTAACGGCGGTCATTTGGTAGCATATTCTTTAAAGCGCATCTCACGAACGATATGGAAATTAACAGCTACCGTTTGTGTAATTTCATGCAGCAGAGATTGCACGTAAGCAGATGCGCGTGCACCGAAATCCTCCTCCTGGTTTTGCCAGTTCTTATAGTTGACGCATCTATCCATCGCAAGACGGAGTAGGTAGCCCAAATATTTCCTGAGAATGTCACAGGCCATATTATTTTGAATAAATCTTCAACGAGGTTCAGTCCTCTGGCCCCAACTGAGTGCTACCATTTAGTTAGTTTTCCAAAAGGGTTTTGGTTAATCCGAATGCACTGACTTTGCCAGTTATCACGTACTTGCATCTTCCCTACCATTTTAATCCAGTGAGGGACTGTGCCACGGGAGATGAGTCCTTACAGGCCAGCCTCGGTTACTTCGGATATCATTTCACACGCACTTCCCAGTGCGTGCTTTGAGCTTTTCTTTAGCTCTCTCTGTCAAGTAGACATGCTAGTGGAATTGTTCTGACGGTGCGGAAATCCGCCGTTTCCACTCAAATGGCCATACACTGCGAATTATCACGCGGTTCCCACAGTGGCCTTCCCATCGTGATTAAGGTCTGCCTATTCTCTACATCCGGCGATTGACAGCGCGGGCAGAGAATCTGTACACGTCACCTTCACTTGTTTCCCTACGCCCTCTTGCACTTTCTTATCCAGCAAGTGGTTCAGTTAGGTATGTTAAGCAAAATTGTCTTAGTAAGTTAACCAAGTGGTATCACTCACGTGGGAATGTAGAACCAAACTTCGTCAAATCGTCTCTTTGGTCGGTATAACGGACCCCTTTAAAAGATGACCTAAGTACAATCTCAGCCAAAGTTCGGTGTCACTGTTGTATGCTGACGTGCACAGAGCCTCAATTTACGCTATGTAGCTTCACATATTAATATATTGCAATGATTTGGTATTGATAATCGATTATATGGTTAAGTTACTAACTTTATCGATTAGTCAGCTTTACCCAAAACCCTGGCCTTGCTGTTTCTGCATTGATTTTCTGCACGAAATCAAATCTGTTGCATTCTTCCCACTCGTTATCTATGTTATGAAGCAACAGGTCGCAGCTGACGGGCCGTCGCGAAAGTTTTTGGTATCATTAAGGGCTATTTAGTCAGCAGTACTAAGCATTGATGCTGGGTAAATGTTTTCGGCCAAAAAAAACCCAGTCGGACTCAATCTTCACATAGGAGAGTAGGAAATCTTTGATAGACAAGCCCTGATCACCTGCATTTTGGTCTAAGTAACTAGAAGCCAATAGCAGTTATCCAAAGCAGCATCTGATTAGTCATTTGCATGATACAGGTGTAGTATGAAATGAATTGCAGCGTCTTTTTTACTTTCCCTCCCAAATGTTAAAATCTTAGGGGAACTTTATCTTTTACATTCTATCCATCTTGACCGAAAAAAGCATGCCATACTTATTTTATAATACTTCACGCTGCTACTTTTCGGAACTGCTGGATGAGAAAGTTAGAGTTAGCTTACTTTCAGGGCTAATTCTTAACGAAAAGCTCAGCTACAGAATTCTGGTAGCGCAAAATATACCACAGGCAAATTAAGATGAAGGGAGATATAGAGACAAGGCCAAAGAAAGTCTTTTAAGTCCGACCAAGCTGTCGTATTTGTCTCATCTTATACAATTCACCTGACTGCTACTGATTTGCACAGTGCCTCGGTCGCAAAATTGTCGAGTAAGCTCAGCTTGTGCAACTTCCACGGTGTGCTCAGGGAGGACGTGAGGGCTCCATGCTGCCGAATGAAGCTGCTGTAGGTGCCGTTGAAAATGATTCCAGTGAAATGCAAAGTGTTGCGATTCCTGCGGCAATCGATAACCTTGACGGGCACACAAGGGCATAGCAACTGCACAGCAACTGCATGCCTCAACACCTGGCCATCCGAGCCGTGATGCACTCGGGAGCTGCCGCAGGAGCCATGAGTTTTATCGCATCTGGGCCTAGTTATACACCCAGACTACTTAAACATGAAAAATCCACCAAGTTAACTGCCTAAACGGAATTTCCTAAGTAATCCACAGGATACCTATGAGGCTCAAGTACGCAACAGGTGTTTTGGCTGCACTAAGGCCTGCCCTTTGCTATTGTGACTCCCAATTCCGCCAAGGTCGCCGAAGTTTTTTTAGTTGGTCAAAATAAAAGAAATCCTATTTGTTGAACGCAATTACTACACAGGGCATTTATGTAACTGTGCTGGAATATGGGACTCATCTTTTTACTACTTGGCTTCTGCTTGCTGAAAGTATTTTTACATCGTACTTCCTGTATTTTTCGAATATTTAACGCGTTTAGTATTTGTGGATATCTGTATTGACACTTAAATGGAATTTCCAAACGAAGTCAAAAAGTAAACTCTCATCTGTGAGATGGTTGAAACTCTCTTGTCGGTAAAATCACCACAGACATTAAGTGCGTAGCGATGGTTAGTCAAAACCCACGTTGTATATAACTGCTGACAACAGGCCTTTTTATGATGCCTAAGCGAGCTAACGACAGTCTCCAACTTCGTGCCAGTTAACAGTGGAGATGGTTAAGTTCAAATCGCTTTATATAACAAAAGAAGTCCTACTTGTTTGTCCAAAAGGCAGCAAGATAGGATAAATTCTTTGTAGGGCGTCAGAAGTACGTGACACAAGCCGTGAGGGTGCTCAATCTCACGAATGTTTGCGTACGATGATACAGTTCTGTGTGCAGGGGTGTTGACTGCACTTAAAAATATTTTTGTAAATTCCGAGTTTATAACTAACTCTTTCTTAAATTGCGTGGCATGGCATTTTCACCTCGACTTGCTGATCCCCACAAAGGCCGACGTGGTAAAATTGCTGAACCGCCAAGGGGCCAGGTTATGGCGTTAAACGCGTTAACCGCGCTGCACAAAACCCGCGCACCGCATAATGGGCGATGTGGTAGCATGCCCAGGAACAGGTTCGCGTAGACTTTCTTGTCAGTCAATGAGCTTAATGTCGCCTTTAGTCATTCTGATTTTGCATTTGTCACTGATGCAGACGGATGGGACAGCTGAGAGTGTGGGGCCGTAGCCCAAGTCTTCTAACGATATAAACACACATACATTAAATGACATTAAATGACCGTCCTACGCCCATCATCTGTTTTTCTAGGGTTATTTAGACAAGAAGTGTACTCATGCTTTCGGCCCTACGAAACCTTAAGGTATTATTAATTAAATGGCCTTAGAAATAAAAGCTGACAGATAGCTCGGACCTAGAGGAGCTATGGAACCCCTCTATCCTGGTTTAGCCAGGCCTTAGAATGGAAGCAAGAATTGGCGAGGATGTATCAGGCTCGCATTCAGAGTAACAATCTCTTAAATGAGAATGGCCTGTGGAGAATATAAATGGCATTACCGTTTGGTATGGACCGAATTCGATAATTGGAAATGTAATGTAACATGCCAGTCTAATAACTCGACCCTTAACGAATGTGTACTCGAGAAAGCTGTCGTGTAAATTTGGTTTGGATACTGGGGCAATGTTAATGTCTGTTTGGCTTTCGTAGTCATAAGATCTGTGCACGGAATACGTGGAACGTAGGCAAAGTGGATCTCCCAGAACATCGGCAAAATGAACGCTCTCCTTGACACGTGGGCACAATTGTTCAATTGGGATTTTGTATAGGTAGAGGCTTTGCAGGCGTAAACGCAAAAATCCCGTATTATAATGTCAAATGATTCAATGGCCATTTGGGCCATTTAGAAATCTTGTAATGCTGTACACCGATTAATGATGCTATCGGTCGCAATGGTACGTCGAGTTTGTGGATTTTCGGTAGTCCATAGATTTTGGCGGTTGTCGCTTTAGTTTGTTTTAACGATTTCGCAATTCCTCCTGGTAGTTGTGTTTTTCCTGCAAGATGCTTCAGTACTTTATCGGTGGATGAAATCTGCTCTTTTGTGGAATCCGCAGTGAGAGACATATAAGATGATCGACCTTCTAACAATGATAGCATCTTGTTATAGTAGCCTGCTGTGATTAGATTTGCAGTTAATCCTCCCTTGTCTGCAAAAATATTTACAATGATTTTGTCAGTATTCAGGGTCTTCAATGCCTTCATTTCCTCGCGTAACACAACTGAAAAATGGGTCGGTTCTTTAGGGTTTGTACAGTGCCCTTCCGTATTGTAAAACTTTCATCGTCTGTGAGGTTTTCTGATGATAGGATTGACTCCAGGTTTGCAAGGATTCCAAAGCAGTTTGAATGAAATACAATCTCTCTAATTACCATTCCTGTCTTTACGCTTGGATCTCGGTTCGATGTAAATAACTATCGGGACGTGTACAAAAAACCATCTCTAGCATACTTATTGAAAGGGAAATGTTCAATGAAAAGCTCGACCATCTGTCTAAATAATCGGCTTCTGAGCTCTAATCAGCAACGATTTTTAATTGAACAATCCTTCGAACCCTGCCACTTGGCATTTCTTACTCCAATCGTTTATAACAATGATTTTACTAATGATTTTATTTAATGCCATTATACGGGCATTGTCAGTGAAGCGTTAAACACAAATCCGGCCATCAGTGAGAAAAAACTCGTGTGGGAAAGGTATAAAAATATAATTGATAGTTTTTGGGGCTTGAAGGGTTCAGGAGGAAAAATAAAACTGCTGGCGACAAACTTTTGACCGTCAAGAAGGGAGGGGATGCACTGTATCGGATGTTCAATTCAGTTCAGTTTATTGAGGGAAATAGGCGTAAGCCTTTGAGTACCCTATTTGCAACGTAAAAAATGTGCGGTGTACAGATAGATGTTCTGGGCTGAAATAGTTCGAACACGCCCATAATGGTGGGACAAAATGAGAACGAGTTACAGGGGGTGAGCTCGACTTCTCATCGCTCCTGGTCATTTCGGAACATAAATATGTCCAGATTCGTCTTAAAACTTTGTATAGATGGTGACATCACAACATCTGCGGAAGCTCATTCCATGGTTTGACCACCCGAACCGAGAAGGAGAACTTCCGCACATCCAGCCGTGCCTGCTGAGTGCGCAGTTTTAACAGGTGACCTCGGAGGTTGGTCGTGGTATCAAATTCAAGAAAGTCCTCGAAGGCCAGACTGCAACCCAACCCCTTTACAATGCGGAAGGCTTGCAAGAGATCTCCGCGAAGTTGCCTGTAACTCAAAGGAAAGCGGTTCAGATTTAATAGGCGGGTCGCATAAGGAAAGGAGCTTTGACCCCTAACCATCTTCGTGGCTCTCCTCTGGACTCTTTCGAGGCAGTTTTGATCCACAACAGCCCACGGCCTCCAAGCTTGTATGCCGTACGCTAATTGCGGCCGGACGAATGTTCCGAATGTCTTAGAGAAAGCTTCTTCGTCAAAGTCCATAAACGCACGCTTGATGGCGTACAGTACGGACATTGCGGTTTTTGCCACCCTCGAACAGTGGGCGGATGGTCTTAGGGAACTCGTCAGCACACCGAGGTCCCTTTGGGCTTCGACCTCTTGTAGGGCTGCACCGCCCAGAAAGTAGCCTCTCGTGCTGGCGGATCTGGCTGTGTTGCCTAGGCGAGGCATGCTACATTTGGCAACGTTGAACCGCAGGAGCCAACGGTTTGACCACTCCTCCAACCGATTCAGGTTCATCTGCAGTCTGCCTTCATCGGCAGGACCCCGAATTACACTCCATCTCTTCATGTCATCCGCAAACATTGCTACTTCAGAGTCTAAATCTCTTGCGGCATCGTCCATGTAGATAAGGAACAAAATGGGTCCCAGTGCTGAACCCTGGGGGACACCACTATCGACCATAGTCGAATCTGATTTTCCCCGACCGACGCACACAACCTGCTGTCGACCAACAAGGAAGTTTTCGATCCATTTAAGGAAGTTGCCACGGATCCCTATTTTTTCAGCTTATGTAAGAGCCTTTGGTGTGGCACAGTGTCGAAAGCATTCTGGAACTCGATGAAGGCTATGTGGACCGCGTGCCTGTCGTCGAGAGCTTGGGTCCAGCTCTGGAGAGATTGCAGCAGGTTTGTCGTGTAGGATCTTCCTTTTTGGAACCCATGTTGGCAGTTCGATAGCAGGCCGTGAACTTCCAGGAATTGCATCAGTACACACTTTATGATCCTTTCCATAACTTTGCAGAGAGTGCATGTCAAGCTTATGGGCCGGTAATTTGTCGTCGCTGCTCTGTTACCTCCTTTGTGTAGCGGAGTAATATGCGCCAGCTTCCAATCGACAGGAAGTGTTCCAGTGTCAAATGACGTTTGAAAGAGCATCGACAAAGGCATCACTGGCAAGTTCCTTCAGAAGCTTGGATGGAATCTCGTCTGGTCCTGGCGACTTCGATTCGTTCAATGCCTCTAATTCTCTTCGGACAATGCCTTCTGAGAAGAGTATATCACTGACGCTTGGAGTCGGCAGTTCTTCTGTGGAGGGAGGAAGGAACCTTGCCTCGTTTGTGTAGACTGATTGGAAAAACCGTGAAAAATGCGCAGCTTTATCCCTACTATCAGCGATCTCAACGCCATCAGTAGTCTTTATCAAGGGGATTTGATGCCTGTTCTTTGTAGTTCGTCGGAGGTAGCTGTAGAGCAATTTTGTGTTCTGCGTTGCTTTTTGTAGCAAGTTCTTCTCGAATTCCCGCCGCGTCTGCATTATCAGCTTCCTCATTTTGTTCCTCTGTGTCTTGTAGGTGTTGAAGCATTCAGCTTGTCTAGTGACGCAGTATTTTCTCCACAATTTGTGCTTCCTGTTGATTTCTTTCTTGAGGTTGCTATTTAGCCACCCAGGGCGTTTGTTCTGTCTTACACTAGTCAGTGGGCAGTGGTTGTTGATGAGCTGCAGAAGGACATTCTTGAACAGCTCCCAGTCATCGTTGGCACTTCCCGTAAACAAAGAGCCCCATTCAAGACCGGATATGTCTGCCCTCATCTGATTGAAGTCGCCCCGCCAAACATTCCGTCTTTTTTGGTCTGGAGTATGTGAAATGGAGAATAACGAATAATCCCACATAAGCACTACGTGGTCACTTCGGCCAAGAGGCGTCATGGAGGCGATCTCGTCTATGCTGTCTGATGTTTTCGTAAAGACCAGATCCAGGCAGTTTGCCCTTTGTCATTCACGCGTTCTTGTTGGGAACATTACATGTTGTGTGAGGCACGCATTTAATGTCTTGCTCAACAGGCGGTAATCGAATGCCGATTTTGAACCTGACGCTTGGAGGGTATTCCAGTTTGTTCCTTGTGCGTTGAAGTCGCCCATGATAATGATGTTAGGTCGACTGGAAAATTTCTTCAACTGCTCCAATAGTTGAGTGTCGGCGATTCGGTCTGTCCTAGGTGGTCGGTAGACAGTAAGGACATCGAGACACGGGGAACCGGTAGCCTTGATGGTCAACCAGATAGCTTCCGTACTGCACGCAAACTTGGTGGTGTTATCCGACACTGCCAGACCGTCATTCACATACACAACGATACCACCACCCTGACGATGTTCCCCGACCCTCCGATAAATTTGGTATCCAGGCAAGGCTACTTCGTTATCGCTAATATTCCCGGACAGCCAGGTCTCAGTTACTGCTAAAACATCTGGAGACAGCTCAACAAGGCAAAGTTTTAGTTCGTCTTGTTTCGATATGAGGCTTTGGGCATTCGTGTACAAGCACCTCAGTTTTGCACCAGCCGAATTTCGTGTTGCATTTGTTACTGCTGTGAGCATTACTCCGTTATCGCGGACGTCGTGTTCTCTAGGCTCTTCCGTTACCTGATTGGTTCCATTTACATGCCTTGTTTCAGTCAGATCACTGGACGCAACGGGCTCACTTGTGCTGGCGCCTTGATCAGGTGGTTCAACGAAGGTGTCTGTTTTAGCTGAGTAGATGTCGTCGTTCGTAGTATTACAGGCTGGTTCCACTGAAACGGCATATATTTCCGAACTACCTTCCCCTTGAAGATAGCCAGATTGTGTTCGCCATCTTTCAGTCTTGATTTTAACTCCAAGACAAGTTCCCGGCGTTTCAACCGTTCCGCTGGTGAATAGTCCGGTTGAAAAAAAAACCTGTTTGTGTGTGTTTCTGAGATCTGTTTTTTTAGAGAGGATAAACTTGATTTGCTCTTTGTTCTCCAGCATTATTTTGAGAGGACGAGGTGGTTGTGCTACTGTCCTGTTTTCACTCCTTTTTCCTATCCGGAATGCTTTCAGAACCTTTATTTCCATGTCTGCCGGCAGTAAATGATTTAGCAGACCATGAAAAGAAGCAAGGTCCTCTGAGACACGGTCTTCAGGTCTGACTACATTCGATTCTGACAAACCCTGAATAACCAGACACTGCTGGCGAGCATGGTCCTCTTACTCTGTCTTTCCGGTGAATGCGCTGCATGTGGGCGAGGATGCTTTACGGAGTCATCGCTTGGACGCACACTTTTACTGTCTACCGACTGTCCCGAGCAACCCATCAGGGCTGGCTGGGACTTCAGAATCCTGTCATGGCGTTTCCCTCTCCCCTCTACCCACGGGTTTATGTCTTCACATTCAGATACGTGCTCTGTAGTGCGCTCGGGGTGGTTGCCAGAACAAGAGGGCAACAGTAGACTGGATGACATAGGTATATCGTCTCCAGGCAGAACAGAAATCCCATCACTTACAGCAAGAGGCTTAGGTGAGATGGCTTCCGCGACAGGTAATTTTTTTGCGACATCGTTTAAGACATCGTGCGTGGGAATCGAGTCTCCCTTTATCGGCGGCTTCGATTTCATTGTCCTGCTGTTACTGGCGTCTGCGGTTTTCGCTGTTAAGTTGCTACTAATGTATATGTATATGTTTATTTGGAGGGTTAGAGGCAGAGCCTTTGATGACCCTATTTATGTACAGTGCTTTCGCAGATTCATAGTCAAAAATAAAATTTCAGGCATTTACAATGTGATCTGGTCACAGTTCAATGGTAATCAAAAGGTAGTGCATAAGGTCACTGTAAATTAGTTCGGAGTGATTGTATATGACCTTAATATGCTTCAACACCTACTGAACGAAATGCTTAATTCGAATGAAAAGATAACCATTCGCGCAGCCTTCAGGATCGGAAAGAAGGTGAGCGAACAATCAGAAACTGTGCGGCCACGACCGCTGAAAATTGTTTTGAACAGTAAAGAGGAAGCTAGCTTACTTCTGTCCAGGAAAAGCAGCCTCCGAAACTTTCACAAGGAAGTTTTTTTTTCAGCCGGACTATTCTCCAGCGGAACGTCTGAAACGCCGCGAATTGGTAACGGAGTTGAAGAGGAGACTTGCAGCGGGAGAGAGCAACTTGGCCATTTTCAGGGGACGAGTAATACAGAGGAACGCGATGTTGTTTTGGAACCAGCCAGTCATCATGATGGCGGCAGCAACATAATATTGGCAAACCCGAGACAAACCGAACGAAGCACTGTCGAATGTTGCAAACTAAAATTCTTTTACACCAATGCTCAGAGTCTGTTTTCCAAGCTTGACGAACTGAGAATACAGGTAGCCGATACTCTTCCCGATGTTATAGCAATAACAGAAACGTGGCTGTCAGAGGACGTTGGCGATTGCGAGATAGCATTAACAGGATACCATTTGTTTAGGAGAGACAGGAGAGGCCGCCGGGGTGGAGGAGTTGCCATGTATGTCAAGAGCAACTTAGCAGTGTGTGAGAGGACCGACAAGATTTCTAGCGACACAGAGGCAGTTTGGCTGACTAAAAAGGCGCGGGGATCTCAGTCCCTCGAAGTCTTAACTATCTACCGGCCCCCGCAGGCGGATCCCGACCCAGATACTTGTCTACTGAAAAGCATAAAAGAGATCGCCAGCCGACCAGACGTTGTTATTATGGGGGATTTTAATGCACCATGCATTCAATGGAGCGATATGCATGCGAAATGCTCGATGAATACCTTCGATTACCATCTACTAAAGGCAACTCTAGAAGCTCTACTCACGCAACATGTCCTGTTTCCAACTAGAGCTCGTGGAGGGCAACAGGCCAGTTGTCTGGACCTCGTTTTTACCAAAGATCCTGACAGTATAGACGAGGTGTACTACCTACCCCCGCTCGGTCGAAGTGATCATGCAGTGCTTTTATGCGAGTACTTGCTGTATTCTGAACCGTGTACAAAAGAAAATACGAGGCCAAATATATGGAAAGGGGACTTTCGCCAAATGAGAGCTGAGGCATCACAAATAGACTGGGATGTTCTCTTCTCCGGAAACGTTAACGAGGACTGGAATTTATTCAAGGATCGTTTACTGCATCTAATGAAGAACCACTGTCCCTTATCAAAGCCTAGGATATCCAACCGCCCTCAGTGGCTTACACGAGAACTCAAAAGGGAGATCAACAAGAAAGGAAGGTTATGGAAGAAATTTCGCGAGAACAGCAATAATGCAGCGTTTACAGAATACAAAATTCAAAGAAATAAGGTGAAAAGTCTGATTTTCAGGAGGCGACGGGATTTTGAGAGTAATTTGCTCCACCAAGCCGTTAAAAATCCGAAGTTGCTCTACAGCTATTTGCGGAAAAGCACACGTAACAGGAATCCCATTCCTGTTATGAGGGGTGATGACGGCTTGGAGATATCGGACAGTACAAATAAGGCTGAGCACTTTTCTCAATTTTTCCGATCCGTTTTCACAAGAGAAGCGGACTTTACCCCATCTAATTCTGCGAACATGGGAGATCCCACTATCGAAAATATTGTGTTTCGAGAAGAAGCGATTTTGGAAGAACTGAAAAGCTTGAAGGAATGTAAATCTCCCGGTCCGGACGAGATTCCAGCAAAGCTGCTCTT